AGGAAAAGGAAGGAGGGGGAGGAGAGAGAAGTAGAAAGAGGAAAAGAGAAACAGAGATTGAGATATTAAGAGGCACAGAAATCATAGTTTAGAGAGAGAGATGATAGGTCTGTAGATAGGTGATAGATGGATGATAGCTAGATCATAGATAGGTATAGGTAGATAGATGGTAGGTAGGTAGGTAGGTAGGTAGATAGATGGTAGGTAGGTAGGTAGTTGATAGATAGATGCATAAACAGGTGACCGGCAGTGAGGTTGAGCCCCAAATGGCCCAGACTGAAGGACAGCTCGGGCCGAGTGGTGCTTACAGGTCTCTATGTCTGCGGACGCCAGTTTTCCAGTTGCCCCAAAGTGGATGCGAATGAACTTCCCCTGGAGAGGTGGAGGAGGGTGCTAATGAGTTGGGGAGAGAGCTCTCATCTGAGGCCATCCCTGGACCAGCCCAAGTTCCGGGACCACTCACGAAGCGGGAGGAGTTGTCGTTCCGCACGGTCTTGGCGTTGCCGAAGGCCTCCAGGGCGGGGTTGGCCTGGATGATCTGGTCCTCCAGGGTGCCCTGCGGAGGTCGAGAAGACAGGCGTGGCGATGAGGAGCCCTCCCTTCCTTCCCTTTCTGTACGGCAGGCCCCGGGAGGACAAGCTGCCTACCTTGCCCGGGTTCTGGTCCTTTTTGCTGCGGTCCCCAATGGCGGCAATGACAGCAAAGTATTGGATGACCCTCTTGGTGTTGACTGTCTTTCCTGCCCCGGATTCTCCACTGTCGGCACAGTCAGACACTCATTAGGGAGTGGACAAACACTGATGGAGACCAACCAGCCTCCACGCCGGGAGAGCCTACCAGGTCCCATCCCAAAGTGGGAGGGCTGAAGCAGAAAGGGACTGGGTAATGCACACTTAAAGCACATGCCGTCTGAAAACAGACACAGGGTTTAGGGGTGGCAGCCAGGAGGGCTTTTACTAGAAGGTGCTGCGTCTGGGCAGCTGGAGTCTGTTTGGGGTTGGCAAGGTGAACTGGAGAAGATGAACCTTGGCTGTTTTGTTAGCAGAATGGGGAAGGTTTCCGGCAAGATGATGAGGCCGAGAAGGCAGAGGGGGCATAGGCCATGGAGAGGTGAGTTGGAGGACAGGGGATGTATGGGTGGGGGGGATGGAAAGCAGAGAGAGGAGCGGAGAGTAACTCGAGAGGGGACTCAGGCACAGGTAGGTGGAGGGGAGCAAGTCTGAGAGCCCCAGGGGGACAGAGCAGGGGCTACTCACGTGATCAGGATGGACTGGTTTTCCCTGTCTGTGGGGAGAAGAGGGAGGAAGAGTAGCACAAGACATCTGTCTTCTCTCTATCCCCCCTCCCAACTTCTCTCCAGGAGCCTCCCAACTCCTGGGACCCTCCATGGGGAGGAGAGGACACGCCTAGGGGTTCGCTCCAGGGGTGTCCTCCTGGAAGCCCCTTCCCGTGGGTTCCTCACCTGTCAGCATGTACTGATAGGCGTTGTCGGAGATGGAGAAGATGTGCGGCGGGGCCTCGCTCCTCTTCTTGCCCCGGTAGGCGG